ATAATCAATGCTGTACCCTGAAATGTTCTCTAACCCTAAAGAATAGTAACATTAATTTTGCTTTCTGCTCTGTCCACGCTTGCTTAAGTCTTAGACAAAGGATAAATGAGGGTTGTTGGGTATTTTTTTTCTTTAAATGATGGATTCAAATATGGACTCGGGACTGCAATCAAAGAATCGCTTTTAGGTTCTAGCAGTTCAGTTATAATCAAATACTCTTCTAAATTATCAAGACATTGTAACGGCTGTCATTTATCCGAATCCACAACCCTTCTGGCAGATTTGTATGTTCTCCTGGCAGTCCGAAGTCCATTGTCAATATTCTTTACCATCACCATAGTTCAAATGCACTATCTTGCATTTTGCAGTTACATATGAGGGGGTTGAAAATAGCATGGCTTAGGGCAGGCGCACCTTAATCCTCAAGTGGTATCTCTGGTTTCGAACAGGTTAAAGAAGTCTTCTGCAGCAGATCTGCCCGTGCAATGCGTCCTTTGACTTTGGACCGCGGCCTTCCTTAGAACCCATTTACAATGAAGTTTCAAATCCCTGGCATTTCCTCTGCACGTGATAGGAGCAGGCCCTGACTGCTGTTTTGCTAGTTCCTGGTTTTGTCAAAGTTCCTGATGTTTCCGCTACAACATTGTGGTAATTAGCATGGACCGAGTTACAATGAAGTTTCAAATCCCTGGCGTTTCCTCTGCACGTGATAGGAGCAGGCCCTGACTGCTGTTTTGCTAGTTCCTGGTTTTGTAAAATTCCTGATGTTTTTACCACAACACTGTGGTAAATAGCATTTGTGGGAGCTCTTTTGAGAATGACGTTGTCATTAAAGGGAAAAACATTAAACTATGTTAAAGACTCCTGCTCCGTTACTAAGGATGTTGCAGTTAACTACCGATGGCTGTGATTCAACGAAGAAAGATCCTAGCAAGCGATCTGGTCGCCAGTGCCCCTGTGATACAAGCAATGCCAGATCGAAGCTTTCGCAGCTGTGTTTTCCACATGCTCCGTTATTAAAACTGACAGCCACGTTTGCCAGGTCAACACTGGACGCTTCTGCTCCGGAAACCGTGCAGGTGAAGCCCGTGAATGGACCACTTTGACCGGACACTCGGGCCCCACGTTCGCGATGGGAAGCGCGGCAGCGTTGGGACAATCAGCTGGTCGAGCCCGGTCACCGCCCCGACAGGCGCTCCCAAAGTGCACCCGTTCCCTGGTCCCCAGTCCCCGCACCCTCGTACTGGTCCCCTAGCCT